AAGAAAAAAATCTGTCTCCCTTCATCGGAAATAATGACACATCAGAAATGGATCGGAAATGATTATGGATTCATGTTGCACATTATTCGAGATATCGCGACAAAATCTCGCGATACGCGACGATAATACAATGATTACAGAAATTTGTGTACGCAACACACGCTCACATTCGTCACTCAAATATATATTTATATATATTTTATATACACAATCAAATATATATATATAACATTTAAATCTCTGCATTAACCTCCGACCGTCGAGCGAGGTCTTGATTATTATTTATTTATCTGTCACGCGTATCAAACTCGTTCGCAATTTAAAGATAAATCACATCGCAGCACACGTGCGTTGACGATGTATAAAATCATCGGGTAGAAAAATATGTCGATTACAACGATTGGTCGAGGGTTACGAGAAGCAGCTCGATAATGCTCTATAAATATATCGATCTCGAATCACGGAGATCGAAATCGACATCGAACGAATAAACATTCCTTGCAAAAATATCAGTTATAAACTACGAATCAACGAATTCCTCTCATTCGTTCGTAGACATGCTTTCGTTTAATGTTACATTTTATGTTATTTATACGAAATTGTAGAGATTCGCGAGAGGGATTTTACGATCTTATCGCGATGATAAATGTATAAATTGACTGAAAATCACGTGGGTTTCAATCTCCGTCAAACGATACACAACTTTAACACTCGCTTCGCGTTTTAGAGAGACACACGTTGCCTCGCTCGCCAATTTTTCGCAATGTTTTCGATAGTGTTTGACACCACGCCTAAGTTGAGCAAGTTTGCGAGCTACTCTGCGCATTGTCTACGGCGTAGCTCGGGTCGAAATAATCGGTATAAGCCAAAAAGTTGGACGTTATAACGGGTTAAAGTGCACCGTACAAAGCTAACAAGTTACAAGAGTTTCGACAGTTCAGGAAAGTATTAATTGGAATCGGCGCTGCCTCGTTACAAGAGGGTCGGAATTGCGTTACATGTAATTGTCGCGCAAAGAGACCTCGTGCATTAAACAATTGTAGCGAAAATGGAAAGAATAATAGAACGCAATATTTTTCCCAACTCACATCGTTGGATTCATCTAACCGATAATTGAACGAGGACATTTTCAAAAGTAATCAAGCATATTTTTGCAGCATTTCTAGACTCAATGATGGAAAAGTTATCGTAGTCTTCGTGCTACACAGAGAAAAATATCATTCTACTGCCGAGCAAAGCGATTACTCAGTTTATTTTTCTTTTTTTAAGTAATAGTGTTCTTCAACAAAGAATATATTCTTGATAATAATCTTAAAATATACTCATCACAAGTGATGGAAAATTACATTATCATGTACTCAAAAGAAGAATTTATTCTCTCTTCAAGAATATTGTAAAGTTATATCAAAGAAAAATCAAACTTACGTCAACTCTTGTAATAAGCAAACCAAATTTTTGTTTTAATTTATACTCTTGACTAAAATACTGCACTTACTAAAATTCAGAATATATTCAATTAAATTTAATGCTTGAACTTATGATATATCTGCGGATATACAAACTTAAAATAAATAATATTTACTTGAATACAGTATACATTTTTCTCTGTGTATTAATCGTGATATACGATAATAAAAATCATTTTATATTAATTATATTATAAAATAAAATATTATATAAAATATAAAATAAAATATTTTATTTCTTTGTTTTTAATACACACAGAAAAATATCATTCTACTGCCAAGAAAAGAGATTACTCAGTTTATTTTTCTTTTTTTAAGTTTTCTTCAACAAAGAATATATTCTTGATAATAGTATTAAAATATACTCATCACAAGTGTTGGAAAATCTCATTATCGTGTACTCAGAAGAAGAATTTATTTTCTCTTCAAGAATATTGTAAAATTGTATCAAAGAAAAATCAAACTTACTTTACGTCAACTCTTGTAATAAGCAAACCAAATTTTTGTTTTAATTCATATTCTTGACTAAAATACTGCACTTACTAAAATTCAGAATATATTCAATTAAATTTAATGCTTGAACTTATGATATATCTGCGGATATACAAACTTAAAATAAATAATATTTACTTGAATACAGTATACATTTTTCTCTGTGTATTGATCGTGATATACGATAATAAAAATCATTTTATATTAATTATATTATAAAATAAAATATAAAATAAAATATTTTATTTCTTTGTTTTTAATACACACAGAAAAATATCATTCTACTGCCAAGAAAAGCGATTACTCAGTTTATTTTTCTTTTTTTAATAGTTTTCTTCAACAAAGAATATATTCTCTTGATAATAGTCTTAAAATATACTCACCACAAGTGTTGGAAAATCTCATTATCATGTACTCAAAAGAAGAATTTATTTTCTCTTCGAGAATATTGTAAAGTTGTATCAAAGAAAAATCAAATTTACTTTACATCAACTCTTGTAATAAGCAAACCAAATTTTTGTTTTAATTTAATATTCTTGACTAAAATACTGCACTTATTAAAATTCAGAATATATTCAATTAAATTATATAAAAAAATTATATAAAAAATTCAATTAAATTAAATATATTCATTAAATATAATGTTTGTGATGAACTTGTGATATATCTGTGGATATACAAACTTTCGATATACTTAAAATAAATAATATTTACTTGAATACAGTATACATTTTTCTCTGTGTACCTAGTTAGTTATAAATAATTATTCTCTTTTGGCTACAACTAAAATAAAAAATTAGAAAAATCTGTTTTTCTTCTCGATACAACTAAAATAATCTCTCTCGATGATTTGATCAACGATCTACTTTCCGCGACAATTTTCAAAAGTGTCCGGGAGGATCATCGGAATTTCTCATTCCTGACCATGTTTGACCATTCAAGTCGCCGGCAGCTGGTATCGCCATGTCCGGAGAGAGGCACAGAACGTATTTAAATTGAACTCGCGTATGTGACCTTGAATCGATACCTTTCAAGTTATTTTCACGTTGCCCGATGTCGTCGAGACCAGTGGGCCTCCGCATCGTTGGCACATCTTTCTTTCTCTCTCTGTCCTGCAGCTAAGCATGCACCTTGGTAGACCGATCAATAACGTATCTCTCGTGCCTACGTCTTGCGGCCGCGATGCAGTACGGTCGGATGTATTTTAATGGCGAAATTATTCCCCCAGCGCACGAATATTAAACGAGAAAATTTCCCGTTCGCTCCCTCGTTCCCATGTTTGTCATCAGTTATAAGGACAATTTAATGACGAATAATTAAACACACAAACCGCTTGAGATTCCGAATCGGCAAAGGCTTGAGAAGTCGCGCAACCTACGAGAGATTATTCCCTACCGCGAGGGTCGTATACGTTGAATTATGACATTGACGTCACGGGTAGAATTCGAGGCGGGATCTCTGGCTGCAGAGAAAATATATTTTTCTCCCTTTCTTTTTTTCCCCCGACAAAATAAATACTGTTCGTCGACGTCCCCTTTCGCGACCGGGAATTTTCGCCCGGGTGGTCCACCCGGTCCCGCGCATTCGACGCAATCTGATCGATGCGCCAGCGGCGCATTAACGCCGTTATGCAACTTACTGCACCAACGAGGTTGCGCCAATGAGAGAGATGCCAAGGTCGATGCACCAACGAACTCGCGCAGCATCGACGTGGCAGCGAGAAGGGAACACGGCTTACACAGAAAAAAAAGGACATTTTTGTTTTAAAAATATATTTACTTTTAACATGGAAATCTTGAAATGAGATTATATCGCGTTAATTAAAGAAAAATATAATTGCCGGAATAATTGCTTACTTGAATGAAGCTATTCTATATAGTTCAATCGAGAAAAATATGTTTTTATGATTTAAGATTTAATTTTCTCGAATGGAAAAGAAACAATGTTAGATAGAAAATAACATTTTTAAATCAAAGATTATAATTTTCTTAAAGTAGAATTAAATAATTATTATTCTTGAGGTGACAATTACAATATTATAAGACGATAATATTGTTGAAATTTAAAATTATTAAATTCTTTTAAGAAGATTATAAATTGTTGCGTATATACGAAACAATGAACGCGTTAGTTTAATTATATAAGTTTTAACACTTACTTTTTTTCTATGTACAAGCACACGGAAAAAAGGACATTCTTGTTTTGAAAATATATTTACTTTTAACATGGAAATCTTGAAATGAGGTTATATCGCGTTAATTAAAGAAAAATATAATTGCCGGAATAATTGCTTACTTGAATGAAGCTATTCTATATAGTTCAATCGAGAAAAATATGTTCTTATGCTTAAGATTTAATTTTCTCGAATGAAAAAGAAACAATGTTAGATAGAAAATAACATTTTTAAATCAAAGATTATAATTTTCTTAAAGTAGAATTAAATAATTATTATTCTTGAGGTGACAATTACAATATTATAAGACGATAATATTGTTGAAATTTAAAATTATTAAATTCTTTTAAGAAGATTATAAATTGTTGCGTATATACGAAACAATGAACGCATTAGTTTAACTATATAAGTTTTAACACTTACTTTTTTTCTATGTATAAGCTCACGGAAAAAAGAACATTCTTGTTTTGAAAATATATTTACTTTTAACATGGAAATCTTGAAATGAGATTATATCGCGTTAATTAAAGAAAAATATAATTGCCGGAATAATTGCTTACTTGAATGAAGCTATTCTATATAGTTCAATCGAGAAAAATATGTTGTTATGATTTAAGATTTACTTTTCTCGAATGGAAAAGAAACAATGTTAAAGAGAAAATAACATTTTTAAATCAAAGATTATAATTTTCTTAAAGTAGAATTAAATAATTATTAAATAATTAAATAATTAAATAATTATTAAATAATTAAATAATTATTCTTGACAATTACAATATTAAAATTAGACGATAATATTGTTGAAATTTAAAATTATTAATTATAAATTATTTTAAGAAGATTATAAATTGTTGCGTATATACGAAATAATGAACGCGTTAGTTTACGTATATAAGTTTTGATTTGCCCTTTATTTTTTTCTGTGTAATGTCGCCGGTTCAGGGATAGATGCCTCTTGAGGGAATTTGTCCTTATGATGTAACCGGCGCAATCCATTCGCAATTTTACTGTCGCAGGAAATACTAGTATTTTCGCATTTCGTTCTACTATAGAAATAAATATATTATACAAATCGATGCGCGTAAATTCAATCCGTAAATTCAATATTTACATATTGACGCGATATTCGATATTTAACCGCTTGAGAGCGAATGTCTCGTCGAACATGATTCACGAACTTTACATTAATTAAAAAAGTATTTCACGTGTATTTGAAGTTTTACTAAAATAGTTTTTTTGATAATAATTCTTAAATAAAAGATTCATTGGATCAGGTTTTTACACAAGTGCAAAAGTGTTAAGGGGTTATGCCTACTTGAGATTGGGAAAATTACGTAATTTTCAAGAATTCTTTTTGCCGTTTTAATAAGTATTTATTGAAATTTACAAAACACTCTCAAAAAGTACATATTTTGAGGTACAAATCGAAATGACGTACAAATTTTTTTATGAAAAAATATTTAAAAATTAAGGAAATATGGCTCTTCTCCTAGAACGTCCGTTTTTTTACATCTTGCGGTGATTAAATTTCTTAAAAACTATTACACCGATCGAACTCAAATTTTACGTACTTATTTGTTATTACAATAAGCAGGGCCTGGACGAAGAATTTTTTATTTCGGTTAAAATTTTTTTATTTATTGCAAGAAAACCAAAATCAGTTCACCTCGAAAAAATGACTTTTTCGTAAAATTGTTGTCATTTTTGTAAAAATCTAAATTTTACCAAACCCTTCGTTCGGGTCCTGCTTATTGTAATAACAAATAAGCACGTAAAATTTGAGTTCGGTTCTTTCATTTTTTAATATTTTTTCATCAAAAAATTGTACTTTTTGATAGCGTTTTGTAAATTTCAATAAACACTTATTAAAACGGCAAAAAAAATTCTTGAAAAATCACATAATTTTCCGATCCCAAGGCCTAACCCCTTAACAAAAATCTCAAATGATATCAAACTTAATTACAAATGTCCTACAACAGAGGTCATAAAAACGCATAGTCTTTGCCCATCTTCACCTATAGAAGAAAAATTTTTCAACGCCCTTGAAATCTCGCTAATTGTTACGTCAGACATTCTTCTTCTTCTTTCTTTTACGAATTCGTGCTTGCAAATTCGCCTTGGTAACGACACTCTTAAAATGCGGACAAGTTTCCCCCCCTCTCTTGCGGCGAGCTTTAACGGTATCGTCGATAGAATGCGATATTCACCGTCGTTTCTTCGCGTGCTTCGAAATGAAGGAGTCCCTAGAAGGATTTTCACGGCTCTTACCGAGTGTTATGGGCGTGAAATCTGTCCGTGTCGGCTTACGTGCTTTCCCTACGTCGCGGGAGTACGTTCCCGACGATGAGGACGAGGACGAGGACGACGGCAGGATCGACCAAGTCGCGCCTCTGAAGAGGGGAACCGAAGGGGGAGAGAAGGTGGCGCACTTCCAAGCTTCTGGCGGGTCTCAGTTCGAGGCGGAGGGCGTCTTGGGTGGCTGGAAGGGGTTCCATTTCAGACACTCCGGATCGATCTCTTTGTAGACGGGACCCCGTCTCTTCACCCTGTCCTTGTAGTCGTCGATCACGTCCTGAAATTATTTCAACGGTCCTTTTATCGCGGCAAACCGCTCCGGGCGACGAGACGGCTTCGGTGGAATCGACGGGGCATGGTTGTAATATCGACGGTGAGGGGTGGAACACGGTTCGAATTAGTCGAATGATAATTAGCCACATCCGAAATACTGCTCGCTCGAAACAATCGCGGAATCCGATCATCCCTCGTTGCGTTATAATCACGTTATAATCGGATAATAGTGGCAAAGCCCCCATTGTCTATGCGCGAGATTTTTTTTTCTTTTCCCTAAGAAGGTTTTCACCCCAAAACTCATCATTTAGACATGATAACACGTGGGATTTTATACTACTATTCTGCTTAATTAAACGTTTCATGTTGGATGAAAATGTAATTTACAAGTTATTTGAATAATTCTAACAATTTTTTGTATATTGCATCTATACCTTGTGGTTTTTTTGCCTAAATTATATTAATTATATTTTATTTAGATTTTATCTTTGAGACCACTGTATCAATTCATTAATTTTTCCTTTTTATTCGAAATGTATTTGTTGGGAAAATAAAGTTCTAGCGTTAAAATTATACCAATTGATGCATGATTATGTATGTCTGTAATAACATTAAAATATATTCTGTATAATATTTCAATTTGCTTTATATTATTGTTACATCTACTTTTGCCGTGTATGATAAATGTAATGTAAATTTGCTAGATTTATCGAATGACGTTTTGAGGCGATTCTCGACACTGTTATGCTTAAGTATCGCGAGTTGTGATAAATCCGACATGGTGACAAGCACGCTCGCGAGAGAAGAATAGACGCTACGCTCTCGTGAAACGAAGGGGAGCTTTGCACATATATATATGCATGACAGGTTACAATAACAAAAGAGTGCCTACCTGTTTCTTGAGAATGATATGCTTGCCCTTCCAGTACTTCATCATACCGAGGGCCTGCAAAGTGCTGACAATATCGTACGAGTCGATGGCCATTTCCTTGCTGATATCTGTGAAAGAAGAATAATCGAGCTTGTCTCTCGTACTAGTCGATAACGGTCTTTTTCCGCGATTCTCGTTGGAATTGAGAATTATTATTGATGGAAAAGCTTCGATAATATCCAATCTTGTAGTAGAAATTTGTTCCTTAGTAAGACTAATAAAGTTACGAGATTAATGGGAAAACACACGATTAATAAAAGATAGGAAATTTCTTTCCGATTGATATTTTTTCGCGTGTGAAGCAATAAAAATATATACACAGAAAAAAATAAGTGTCAAATCAAAACTTATATACTTGAATTAACGCGTTTATTGTTTCGTATATACACAACAATTTATAATCTTCTTAGAAGAATTTAATAATTTTAAATTTCAACATTAATTTAATAATTTTAAATTTCAACATTATCGTCTTATTTTAATATTGTAATTGTCATCTCAAGAATATATAATTATTTAATTCTACTTTAAGAAAATTATAATCTTTGATTTAAAAATGTTATTTTCTGTCTATTGTTTATTTTCTATTCAAGAAAATTAAATCTTAAATCATAAGAATGTATTTTTCTCGACTGAACTATATAAAATGGCTTCATTCAAGTAAGCAATTATTCAAGCAATTATATTTTTTTTAAATTAACGTGATATAATCTCATTTCAAGATTTCCATGTTAAAACTAAATATATTTTCAAAACAAGAATGTCCTTTTTTCCCGTAAGCTTATACACACAAAAAAATGTGTCAAATCAAAACTTATATACTTAAACTAACGCGTTCATTGTTTCGTATATACGCGACAATTTATAATCTTCTTAGAAGAATTTAATAATTTTAAATTTCAACAATATTATCGTCTTATTTTAATATTGTAATTGTCATCTCAAGAATATGTAATTATTTAATTCTACTTTAAGAAAATTATAATCTTTGATTTAAAAATGTTATTTTCTATCTAATATTGTTTATTTTCTATTCAAGAAAATTAAATCTTAAATCATAAGAATATATTTTTCTCGATTGAACTATATAAAATGGCTTCATTCGAGTAAGCAATTATATTTTTCTTTAATTAACGCGATACAATCTCATTTCCAGATTTCCATGTTAAAAGTAAATATATTTTGAAAACAAGAATGTGCTTTTTTTCTGTGTATCGTCAAAATAAAAAATTCTATCTCTTCTTTTAGTAGCCTCTTTAATTAGCTCCGCAAACCCAGTTGGAATTTATAAAAAAATTTATTCTTGATATTTGTCCCATCCCGAGATTCGTTTAATATTGAATCCATTTAACTCGATTTCGATAGAAATGATAATAAATTTAAATAAAGGTCTTTCTGCAGTTGCGAAAATGCGAAAATGATGAATCATATATAATCTGCTGCGGTTCTCGACAGGGAGTAGGGTTTATCCTGCCCTCGTGGATACAATTATTCAACCGCTAAAACCAGTTACGCTGGGAAAACTTGACCATCAGATCAATAACAATACGATGTAAATCCCCCGCCGATGATTCCCTTGTCTCTCCGGAGACACAAAATAGAGTCTACAACATCGATCGAGAGTAAATTACTATGTACGTATAAATATCTCGTGTGCATAAATTCCATCGACAAGATGTAAATCCTGATTGGGGCAGCAAAAAATCGCGAAAATCGGGGAAACAATCCTTCATCGATCCGACATTATTAATATAGCTTTAAGGATCTTTTTCGCAGGGAATTATGCAACGAATGTCAAGTTTTTCCCCGAGAAAAAATTATACGGAACCATTTCGAAATCAAGCGTTGCATTAGCGTTCAAAGAGGCAGGTCTGCGAGTCTGTCGCACTTTCATTTCGCGGATGAATATTTAAGTATCGGGAAGTGCCAAAAGTCCGTCGTTTCGACGGATTGACGGCAGAGCTCAAAGAGTAAAACTTAACCACCTACCTTTGACGGAGATTTCCTTGCCGCCGAAATTGCAGAGGTACTGCAGCAGGACGTCCTTCCAGTAGCTGCGGTACGAGATCAGACCGAGATCCGATAACGGCTTCTCCGGCGAGCCGATCTTCTTCTCGACCCTCGTCAGCAAGTAACCTGCGCAGGCAGACAGGATAATTCAATTTTTATTTGTACCTGCAGAGAATGCGGAATCTTCGATCTTGCGCGAGTGCGGTAAAATTTTATTCAATAAATTAAAATTTATATTAATAAATTTAGAAATAATTAATATAATAAAATAATATAAAAATAATAAAATAATAATAATATAATAATATAATAATAATAAATAATAATATAATAAAATAAAAAATAATAATAAATAATAATATAATAAAATAATAAAATAATAAAATAATATAAAAATCGCGCCTCGGTTAATCATTTCCGCGGAAAGAGACGGAGGAGCGACGAGAAATCTTTCCAACTGTCTGCAAAGGAAAATGTATCTCGCCGATTTGCCATGATTCGGGCTACAAAAAATATGTCAATGACAATATTAATCTTCGAATTCAACCGATCAAAGCCGGAAAGATCTCTGCGAGCTCTCTAGGCTGAACATGTGCGTATAATCGGGCAACGAAATCCTATTATACACTTTAATTCGAGCGCGGACAAGTGGCTGACCGGATCCGACAGAGGAACGGACCTGTCCGCTCCCGGTTGAACGTCCGTTCCGCCTCGTTTGCCCGAAATATTCTACGACGAGGCATCAAAGAAAAATATATGGACAGACGAGGGAGAGGAGAACAAGTGGGCAAGGGGGGGGGGGAGAGGGCCCAAGGGGGGAAGGAAGGGATACCCTGAGGCGTTTCGTGCCGCGTCTGCCTGGTGAATCGGCGAAATCGTCCGTTGCGCGCATCCGTCTACGTCAATGGAATTATCCGATGGACCGGTTAAAAACCCGTTTTCAAAGATGGGGGAGAGGGACGACTTAAATGCCAGATCCAGATCTACCGCAACTCGGAGAGCGAATGGGAGAGATCAATAACGCCGGCCGCGTGCGTCCAACTGCAATCGATAAGCGCCCTAATCAGCGAGCGACGCAGGTGAAATCCAACTCTCTAAAAGTGAATCGAATGTATTATCACTGAAAAAACAGTAAATAGTCATTGATGACAGCAGTTATAAATACAGCACTGTAAATCAGTGATATTTTATTGAAAGAATCAGTTAATAATTTTGACTGTTTCAATCAGTAATATTTCTCAATATCAGTCGTATTTCTTTCGTTATTGTCAGTAATATTAAACTACAATTCATCTCTTTATCTATTTTATGTAAAATTTAAAATTTTATTTATATTTATTGAATATTTATTATATTAAAAATTTTATTTATATTGCATGCATATTGAACTTGTTAATTTAAATAGATAACGAACGAATGATTTTCATCAAGTCGCCAGACATTTATTTGTCCGACTTATAAAGCTCGATTTAATATCTGAAGCCTCTCTATTGAGATTGTATCAGAAATTAAATCGAAATAATACTTCTAATTTTAAATGTCGCTCTTTGCAAACTTTAAATAATTCTTATGACTAAAATTAAATACGAGATAGCGATCGTAGCGGTAAACGAACAAACTAGCGATTACTGGTTTTACAGTGAAATTTACTGGCTTTACAGTGAATTTTATTTTAACTGACCATAATCTGTGAGATATAAGATAAAATAACAAAAAAATAAGCGTTTCCACTGAAGATCAGTAAAATACTCACTGATTCTCAGTGAAATCTTATTTTACTGTTTAAATTAGTGATATTTTCACTGATTCACTTTTAGAGAGAAGAGCGAAACGTGCTTTAATTCGGATCTTGATTATTAAAAAAGCTTCAAAGGTTCTCGAGTTCAAATGTGTAACGGGGCGAGAATGCGAGACCGGCGATTCTCATCATATATACGACAATGCGACGCGAATCTGGAAATTATCCACCTCCTACCATGACGGGAGATCCTCGGTAAAGTGACACAAATCACCGAGAAACAAGAGATTGGGATTGCACAAGATATCAAGAGTAAGTCTTAATATTATCTTGCCTCGTCTCCAATTTCGAGACTGGATTTTTAATTAACTATGAATTTAATATCAAGACTAAGATTGTGATATTGTCAAAATTAATAATTTTTAAATGATTAATTTAGAAAATTATTGATTTTTAAAAAAGTTGAAATATATGCATATAATATTTGTTAGGGAAAAAAATCGCCGTATTATATATGAGCTTAACCAAAATTTTATTTCATAAAGGAAAAGTTATTAAGTTTATTTAATAAATAAAAATTTATATTAAAGAAATAATTAATATAATAAACAAAATGATATAAAATTTTAATTATTTAGCTACACAAAACTTTGCGTATAATACATGTACGCAGTTTTCTGATTGCATGTGTATGAGCTATGCCTGCATTTTAGCATTATTATATGCAATTGTCTTTTTATAAAGAAAATAAATAACATAAACAATAATTATCTTAAATTATATTATAAAGATTATGTGAAATATAATTTTGAATAATTAATTCATCTCAAATTAGATATAAAAATGATTAAAAATTATTTAAAATCAAAACAAAACTTTTGCTACAAAGATTCATTCGAGATCAAGACAAGATGTAAGTTTTCGAACATTTTCAATGCAATACTTTTACGAATATTATCCGTCTTGTGCAATCTTAGACTGATCTGCACTCGAGGTCAATCTTCGAATACAAAAGTACAAGTCAAAATCGTGACAGATAGCGCCGATAGGATGGGATTTAATGGATCCGCGTTCGAGTTTGCACAGATTTCGCGAGTGCTTCTCGTTGGCCGAGTAAAACTGCACCTTGTATTATGTATAACCGATTATGCTACGGATTCGCGGGGATATATTAGCGAATGTCGTCCCGTCGCATACCCGAAAATTACGTCGGAGAGACCCGCTGGCAAGTTCAAAAGCTCCTTCATTAGCAAAGTGATCTCTCTCCCTGCTGTCTTTCGCCAACGAAATCTCGCCGTCCGAAAGACGTTTATTTAAAGTTCTCAATGCGCCGTTTTCGCGCGGCTAATGTATCAAAGAGCACGAGCTAATTAAGTGTTAAGAGATTAGTACCGACAGTATCAGGCGCATCACGAGAACGTTTTTGGTCCATTGAATTTATTGTTCTATGAAGCCTTTATAATCTTGGATCATACTCTATTCATAATCGTTTTTCAATATTCAGAAATAAAAAATTAATTAATTATTTAAAAATATTAATATTATTTTAAAAATTAATAACTTTCTTGTAATTAGAAAGAATGGGAAAAATTTTGGAAAGAGTAAAAAAATATTTGTAGCATTAATATTTTTTTTAGAAAAATTATTAATATATGATGTTTAATCGTGAGATCAGCGTTTCAATCTTAATTAAATCAGTTCCGAAAAAGGAGAGCCTATATAATATTATTGTTAATAAGAAAGTAAAATTTTATCTTGCATTTCAGAGTTTCTTCCATTTAAAGCCTTTATATTTTCGGATCATATTAAAGAATAGAAAAAATTTTGGAGACTAAAAAAATATTTGTAGCATTAATATTTTTAAAAAAAGTTATTAATTAATATGTAACCTTTAATCGTGAAGCCAGCGTTTCAATCTTAATTTAGTCGATTCTGAAAAAGGAGAGTCTATAATATTATTATTAACAAGAAAATAAAATTTTATTTTACATGCCAGTGTTTCTTTCATTTGAAGTCTTTATAATCCCGGGTCATATTCTCTATTTATAATCGTTTTTCACTATTCAGAAATAAAAATTAATTTTCTTGTAATTAGAAAAAATAAAAAAAATTTTGGAAAGGTAAAAAAAAATATTTGTAGCATTAATATTTTATAGAAAAATTATCAATACGTGACGTTTAATCGTGAGATCAGCGTTTCAACCTCAATTAAATCGGTTTCGAAAAAGAAGAGAGAGAGCCTATAATATTATTATTAACAAGAAAATAAAATTTTATTTTACATTCCAGTGTTTCTTTCATTTGAAGTCTACAATCCCGGGTCATATTCTCTATTTATAATCGTTTTTCACTATTCAGAAATAAAAATTAATTTTCTTGTAATTAAAAAGAATAGAAAAAATTTTGGAAAGGTAAAAAAAATATTTGTAGCATTAATATTTTTTAGAAAAATTATCAATACGTGACGTTTAATCGTGAGGTCAGCGTTTCAACCTCAATTAAATCGGTTCTGAAAAAGGAGAGAGAGACCCTATAATATTATTATTAACAAGAAAATAAAATTTTATCTTGCACTTTAGTGTTATTTTCATTTAGTACCGAACAACGAAAAATATATACCGTATAATCTTTATACGGAGAATTGCCAGGGAGCCTTAATTCCCGACCCCAAATAATTTCCAAAACTCTTGTATGCATTTATTATGCATCCATTACGCGTCCGATCTCGTAGAGATCTCGCATTCGACGTTTCCCGTGCAAACTCGTTTTCCGCAAAAGGCAAGAGAGCCTCGCCCTTTTCATCCCCGTCGCGAACAAGGACGGCGAGCGAGGAGACGTGTCCTCGAATATACCCGTACCGGGACACCGGGATCCTGCGTCCCGTTCCAGGGTGTTCCCGGCCGGCGAAGGGTTCAACGACCACATGCCGCCCCTCTCTCTCTCTCTCTCTCTCTCTCTCTCTCCCTCTCTCTCTCTGTCTCTCTTCTGTTTCATGCCGCATCTCCTTCACTTTCGCGGACCGTGTATCTCCGCTGGCAGAGAGGACACTTCTATCCTGTTTCCCTCCCCCTCTTCCCTTCTACAGACTACCATTTCTCGTCGACGCTCCGCGGGTATTCACCGCCTCCCCCGCCACATTTCTCCTTCTCACCACTGATTACTTTGGGAGGGCTGAACGCATTCATTACGCGTCCGTTCAGTTTGCAGACTTTCGGGGAAGGGGTGGGGCGCGGGGGGGGGGAGGAGAGGCGAAAGAGGATCGACGGAGGGGAGGAAATTCGACGGTGGAAATTCGAGAAAGAGGAAAACGGCGACTGTCGCGAAGTGGGAGAAAGGAAGACGGATCGGCGCGACGGAGGAAGGGTACCGCGTCCCGGTCTCGGGGCAGGGTCGGCTCGACGAGGGGGCGCGGGGGCCAATGGGGGATTGCGCGAGCGACGAAATTGGGTACCGCCGCGAACAGTTCGTTGCCTCGTCGGAATCACTGACAAAGAAGATTTACGACTTGTCGGGGATATTTGTCTTCGGCGAGGCTTAATGGAGCAAGTGGCCGGAGCAAAAATCAGGATGCCGCGTAATAACGTTAATAACGTTAACTTAACGGGAAATGTGCGATGATCGGTCGAGTCGACATTTCAACTCTTAGCTAAAGTAGCCCTAGAAAAAAGAAATCGAGCAGAAATTACAACATTATTATTAGCGAGTTCAATTCTAAAAGTATGCTTGCTTATGTTTCCTTCGTCAGAGAAATAATTTTTTTTTTTTCGATTAAACGAATTCTATTAACTTTCTCCACTTCGTCAAATCTACAATCGACGTATTATCTCTATTTACCTCCCCTTTAAAAAAATACTTCCGTCCTCCGAAGATTCACTTTTAACGGGATGAATGGGAGGGAGAGCTGGGTCACGGAAGCCATTCGTTCCGGTTACACAAGACGCATTCGTTCTATCGCAGTTAAGGGGACAAATTCAACTTGTAATTTCTTTCAGCGGCAAAGACGATTTGTCTCCGAGATGTCGCGCGGCAGTCTTGAAAAAACGGAGGAGGAGAAAAAAAAATACGAGCGTTCCCGAAAAGGGGGATTGGAGGGGGGGGGGAGAAAAGCGTCCAGAGAGTCTATCCGTCTGGCGGCGAGACGCGCCGTGTATCCGCCCTTCGCCCTGACGAAGGCGAGAGATGCTGCACGCCGACCCTGCCCAGTCGCGGCAATGTTGCGGCGGTAACCCCTCCGTCCCGAGCCCCCCTCCCCTCCCCGCCGCCCCCCGCGTCTCCTCCCTCCCCGAGCCATCGTAAACTGGACGTAGGGAAAGGGCGTCGGTGACCCTGCCAATCCTACGTAGGGGTAGTGGAGCGAGGTCACGAGAGGTCATACGATTCCCGAGCCCTTCGGGCGCCCTGCGGGGGATGGCGGGGCGGGGCGGCGAGAGAGGGGAGCGCGGGGAGGCGGGCGGGGGAGATGCGGCGGAACAGGGCAGGGCAGGCAGGTACGAGAGCTCGGCGGAGATCAAGGTGCGCGCGGAGAGAGCGCGGTCGCCCAGGAGAGGAGGACAGGAGCGGTCGGGTGCGTGAGACAGGAAGCGCGGGGTGTGCGTTGTAGGCGTGCAAGCCGCACGCGTGTCTGCACGCGGCGTGTACGCGACGTCGACGTCGACGTCGACGTCGGCGGCATCGGCGGCCGTGGGGGGGTCGATCGATGCGGCGAGACGCCGGGCGTCGCACTTTCCGCCGACCACTTCGCTCTTCCAACCTACGCCACGCCATCGCCGCCCGCGATATCGATACCGGCTGAAGGTTCGGCTAAAGAGTTTCGGACGTGGAGAAAATACTGGGATCGCGTCCAATTAATGCCGCTGCCGGTCGATTAATAAATATTCTCGGAGTAAAATATACTGATAAAATATATAGAGTAATAGAGAGTAATAAATGGAAAATGAGGAAAAATAAAGTAAGAATGAGCCTTTCCGCAAAATTCTTCGAGGAAAATTGAGCACTGTGCGATTTTATAATTTTTGCAAAATAATTCACATTTTTGATTCGGCTAAAGAGTTTTAGCGACATGGAGATAAAATTGGGATCGCGCCCAATTAATGCCGCTGCCGATTGATTAATAAATATTCTCGGAATGAAATATATTGATAAAATATATAATATGGAGTAATAAATGGAAAACGAGGAAAAATAAAGTAAGAATAAGCCTTTCCGCAAAATTCTTCGAGAAAAACTTATCCCTGTGCGATTTTATAATTTTTGCAAAATAATTCACATTTTACTACGGAAAGGTAAGTATCATTATGAGTATCATTATAAGTATCATTATGGGGGATCCCTCACTGAATTCTTACACGATTACAGCACCCTCATCTAATCCTCATCCCGTATCTCTCTCTATCACGTTATTTATAAAGACACTGCTTTTTCTACTCTATTGTACCGATATTTCAGGTACATATGGACCGAAATTTTTGGGCACATGCCATGTATTAATTAGACTACTAAACTCAATTTTCAGTTCCACAAGTTTTTATTGCGCCGTCCGCTATTGGGTACGCTATTGTTTCATGCATGAAAGTTACAAAACATTTATACAAGGCTAATGTCTTTATGAGGTGATAGCTTTAGACGCCATGTTAATTTAAGAAGTCGATAAATAAACATATAATTTTATACTTTTTTTTCTTCCTCATATTCTAATTAATTATAATTCTATATAATATCTAATTAATGATAATTCTATATAATCAGCTTCCCCGTGTCCGTTTGCGTCTATAATTTAACCGTAGAAAAGGATTTTTAATTCTACGTGGATAAAAAATGGCACATGCCCAAAAATTACAGTGTCTCGTCGATAAAACAGATAGGTTGTGGGATTCCCCTTAAATTAAATCGACTCCTGAGACTTCCGAGACTCGCGTAGGGGCGCGCGAATTCGTATCGCCGGCCTTGTACAGTCGAAATACAGCCGGCGGCGAAGTCGATGGCACCGACACTGGATGCAGAAGGATGGATGAAGCGAGGGGGAGGAAAACGCGGGGCGGGGGAGCGGGAGAAGCGTCTCGCTCGCGGAAAAGCCGGCGGGACTGTGAAAGCACCCCCCCGGCCGACCGACCGACACACCACGAAGGCGCACAGTACGTCGACCCTCGACCAACCAACCAACCAACCCCCTCGACACACACCACCACCACCATCTCCCCTGTCCGCTTATCACCCTCCCTGCCCCGTCCGCCCCCTCCTACTACTACCTACGGTGTAGTAGCGCCGCGATGCCCGCCCGACGCCGTCGACGCTCGCTCAGCATCAATGAAAATGACGTCACGGCAAAAAGCCCCGCGTTTAATTATCAACGCTACGCTTCGCGCCGTGACGAGGGCGTGCGCGCGCATGTGTATGCGTGCGTGTGTACGATGCGTCGAGGACGGGGAATTGGCACGAGGGGAGGAAGGAGGGGCAGAGGGGGGCAGAGGGGGGAGCGATTTCGCTCGCGAGAAAATCGATCGCGATCTCAGACACGCGAGGATGATACGTACGAGTCAGTCGGCGGGAATAACGCGAACGCCGAGATATTTGCACGGTAAATTTAGGTACGAGATCGTCGAGATCTCGCCCGCTCGTCGGGGGGGCCGGGGGGGGCTGAACGCGCGGCCCTCGCGAGCCGGGTGAGCGAATCCATTTTTTTCTTTTTCTCCCCGAACGATCCGGGAGGCTTCGCGTCGCGTTTGGCGTTAACGCCGAAGCGGGGCTTTTTGTACGGTCTTCCAGAAGGGGTTCAACGGCCAACGACGACCGTATCGTCGGCGGTTGGCCGCAAACGCACGCCGAGACACGAGGCCTTTCCTCCGTCGTCATCGTCTACGTTCACGAAACCGCGAAGGCGGACCGCTCGGGCTCCCCTACTCTCCTAATTCGGTTATCCTTTCGGTTTCGAACGGAAGGATGCCGTCATCGCCGTCCTTACTTTGGACCGAGCCAAGGTTGACCGGGAACCGGCAGGAAATGTTGCACACGCGTCACATCGGTGTCGTATACTCACTGAAATCGATGAGGAGTCGGCCGTAGCCCTGCCTCTGGTAAGGCGGTAGCGTCAGGATGCAGGACACGTTGTAATTTAAGAAGGAGTTCTTCTCCTGAAACAGAAAGAGGAGTCCGGTTATCACACGTCGTTATCATTTGTAGGGCTTAATTACTATTACTGGATGTAATATGGATGTAATATATTGTTAATGGACTGAATCGCTCTTCTCTTTAGCCAAGTGTCTCACAGCTTGTCGATTATCCTTAGGAGGAACAACTACGAAGTCAAATCGCAAGCCGTGCGTGAATTTCGAAATTAGTGAGATTAGATTGCACATATTCCATTTCGCATGCTACGTGCAACTTATATAAATTAAATAACTTATATAAATAATAAGTGAAACTTGTATAAATTAAATATGCGATCGATGGATATTCTGCTCATCGAGCGGACGCATTCCGAGAAATTCTGACGCTGATGCAACGATGAATATATTCTTCTGCTTTTATAATGAAGAAGATAAAAGCGGTTAAGGATGTTATTATGTAGAATAAATTATATAATATACAGGGTGTTTCTTAATAAGTGCGAAAAATTTTAGGAGATTCTTTGTCGAAAATTAAGAGGGGTTTTTTAATATAAACTTTTATATACTCCTACATCTCTTCCTATGGAATTACACTCCTTCAAAAATGGGGATAAAAATTAGATTTTTATTTTTTTCTCAAATTTGGAACAAGTTAAAGAAATGAAATTAGGTGGATATTTTCTACTAGTAAAAAGGTTATTTATTAATATTTTTTTCAACCTCTCGTATTGTTATAAGGGAATGAAACTAGCAACCTCTATTCAATTTTTTATTAAAACTTTTTAATGGGCCAAAATATGATCATCTAAAAATGTGCATTAAAAAGTTTGATTTATTTCGAAACTTTTTTATTTGTTTTAGTTTCTTCATAAAATCAGTAGCTTTCAAGAAAAAAAATCAAATACGTTATCGTGCACCGTACTAAATAGCGTAGATCTCGAATTACGAGAAATTAGATTTTAAAATAAAAATAAAATTAGAGTAAATGTTGGGAAAATTAGGACAAAACAAAATTATAAAAACAACCTAATTTTTACCTACATTTTTGGAGGAGTGTAACTCCTATAAAAACAACTCTTATAACTCTTATAACTCTTGTAACTCTTATAAAAGCAACCTAATTTTTACCTACATTTTTGGAGGAGTTACACTCCTCCAAAAATGTAGGTAAAAATTAGGTTGTTTTTATAATTTTGAGGGGAGAGGAGATTGAGAAAATTGAGAGGAGCTGTAGAAGTATATGTTTATATGAAAAATCTTCCTTAATTTTCGACAAAGAATCATCTAAAATTTTTCGCACTTATTAAGAAACACTCTATACATATATGTATGTATATATCTATGAAGTATGTCTCATTGAGTTTTCCGGAAGAGCGATCTTCGCTATCCATCAGCTCGAAAAATTAATCAGAGATCATCTTGAGCCACTTAGAACGTTTCTCCTAAAGACCGTATCAATTTTTCAGCATCATAACTCGGGGAGTTCGCGGAGATTGTCGTGAAAGAATCATGGGAGAGTCGTGAGAGAAGAAAAACCGCCGCAATTCCGAAAGTCACATTCAAAAATAGAGCAAGCCAGGCTCTAATAAGAGACGAGGTTTTCGTATTTTTAACCGCGACCGCAGTGGGCGGTGCGTGCTCATCGGGCCGAGCTCGAAGATTAGATAAATCCCTTTCCGGAGATTACGCCGGTATCAACTTTAAGCTAATCGTTTATTATGAAAGCGACAGTAAGTCGATTTTTTTTTGAAATCCACTAAATATATTTATATTATATGTCGCGCTTAAACTCTTCGTGTCTAAAGTCTCATTTATCACGTTTGCAAAATAAATGTTTATAAGATGATTATCACCGACTATCTCGTATATACGAGTTTTCTTAACGAAATTAATTATCTTTCAATACTTTTGCACAATTATCATTTTTATTGCGAATTGATATCGGTTCTCTGTTCCTGAAAAAAACTTGCGGTATCAAGAACGAAGAGAAATCGAACGATGTTTCATTTGAGCGTTAATTTCAATTAATGGCCGAGAAGAGATGTATATTACGTTGCGAACACCCAGTATATATATCGTAGACACGAAAAATCAACGTCGGTTAAGCCAATCGGCGCGATGCAGCACCTTTTACGAAGACTCTTTCATAAGAGTCTCGCGTTTGAATTTCGCTGAATATAAACAATTTTTAACGATCAAAGGCAAAAATTACCATGTCCAATGCACGTCGTGACAGCTACCACGACCGTCTAATGGACTAACCGTTCTATTCAGCGAACAAGAAATCAAGAGAGATTAAAATCTCTTCATCTCTTTTTTTTCATCGATGTTCCGTAATAAAGGGACTTTAATCACTCGGGCAGAATGACGACTAATGTTCTGGAAACTATCATTTTTCGTTAAGTACCGCAGGAATTCACGGTACGTTTCAAGATATCTCGACGAGCAAAAGAGAGAGAGAGAGAGAGAGAGAAAAGGAATTCTCTAAAAGTGAATCAGCAAAAATATCACTAATTTAAACAGTAAAATAAGATTTCGCTGAGAATCAATGAGTATTTTACTAATTTTCAGTGGAAACGCTCATTTTTTTGTTATTTTATCTCACTGATTATGGTCAGTTGAGATAAAATTCACTGTAAAGGCAATAAATTTCACTATAAAAACTAATTAAGTAATCATAATTTAATAAATATAAAAAGTAAACCGTAATTTAAAGTTTGCAAAGAGCGACATTTAAAATTAGAAGTATTATTTCGATTTAATTTCTGATACAATCTCAATAGAGAAGCTTCAGATATTAAATCGATCTTTATAAGTCGGACAAATAAATGTCTGGCGACTTGATGAACATTAATTAAAAAATTAAATTTAAACAGTAAAATAAGATTTCACTTAGAATCAATGAGCATTTTACTGATTTTCAGTGGAAACGCTTATTTTTTTGTTATTTTATCTCACTGATTATGGCCAGTTGAGATAAAATTCACTGTAAAGTCAGTGAATTTCACTATAAAACCAGTAATCGTAATTTAATAAACATAAAAAGTAAACCATAATTTAAAATTTGCAAAGAGCGACATTTAAAATTAGAAGTATTATTTCGATTTAATTTCTGATACAATCTCAATAGAGAGGCTTCAGATATTAAATCGATCTTTATAAATCGGACAAATAAATGTCTGGCGACTTGATGAAAATTATTCGTTCGTTATCTATTTAAAATAACAAGTGCAATAACGTTATCTATTTAAAATAACAAGTGCAGTTCAATATGCATGTAATATAAATAAAATAAAATTTTTAATATAATAAATATTTAGTCAATATAAATAAAATTTTTAATTTTACATGAAATAGATAAAGAGATGAATTGTAGTTTAATATTATTAAACAATAACGAAAGAAATTACTGATATTGAGAAATATTACTGATTGAAACAGTCAAAATTATTAATTGATTCTTTCAATAAAATATACTGATTTATAGTATATTTTATAACTGCTGTCATCGATGACTATTTAATGACTTTTTTAGTGATAATACACTGATTCACTTTTAGAGAAGAGATATTACGGAACCGCAGGTATTTTTCGAAAATAGATTCGCGTTCGAGCGTCGTGTTGAACGTGCGGTCTGAAAAATCAAGACTCATCGCGCACCTGGCGCAGCCTTCTCTCTCTCTCTCCCTCCGCGTACGCGGAGATTCGTGCGAAATCGCGAAGGTAACCGTAACGCTCGAGACGAAAGCGGGAAGGTGAGGTGCACTCGTGAAAAGAGAATTAATAGGCCGGTTATTAAAATTTTTCACGCCTCGCGGGCAACGACGTTCCTCGTCTTCCAGCTCTCGGATCTCGTATCTCGCTCGAATCAGTAACGCTTCTTCGCAGCGGAATCCCGTCTCGATGATCGTAATATTCGGACACCCGGTATTTCCGGCCGTGTGGCGGCCGTGCTGTTGCTAACTGCCGAGCCAGCAACGGTCCGAAGGACACGAGCCGCGGTCGTTGTGTGCGGCTCGGCCCACGTGTGCGTATCGGCGTGTTAACTTGGCGAAGTGTACAAGACGAACAAGAGAGGAGAGATAGAAATATACAGGAGACGTAGACGCGGCGAGAGAGAGAGAGAGGAGGAGGTAGGCGGAGACGAAAGAAAGGGGAGGTTTGGGCCCCAAGAGAGCAACCGTCCGAGGAACCCGTCTCTGCCGAAGGGGAAACTAACCGTTAGGAGGACCTAAGGGCAAAATGTGGACACAATTTCTACGCCGGAGTATTCTCTGGACGTTAACGATATTCGGAAAGTATCGATATGCTTCGACAACGGGACAACGTCGGGTCGGAGATTTACTACAAGAGGAGGACCATTTGACGGCCGGTGGAATTAGTGAGACAAATCGTCATGAAAATGAGTCAGCGTGGCAGAGTCTTAAAAGCCGAGGGTCGTCCTCCCGTCATTCTTGCAAAGAGACGTGAAATATACAAGGTGTCCTAAAATGATGGTCCTCGCAAAGTTACATCGAACACTCGATCGTTTTCGTTCCAATTAAGTGAAATTTCGGTCAAGTCCGTTTATAAGAGTCCAAAAGGGAATCATTGGGCTCGATGATTGCGGATGAAAAAATGCCTCGCGAGTGGAAAGCGTAGAGAGGGACGGGAAGAGCGAAAAAAGGAGCGGACAGAGGGGGAAAAGAAGGAGAGAGAAAGAGGGAGAATCTGGGGCCCGCGACGTCCTTGGGCCCGGTAATCTCCACGTTGCTCTCAGGGACGTCTCGTCCCATAGAGGAGGCCACACTTTTCCTTTCTCTTTCTTTCTTTTTCCCCGTCGCGCGATCTCTCTCCCTCCGTCTCGGTCGTCCCCCAACAAAAGGCATAAAGGCGACGAGGCGCCTCGTCAGCTCGCACGAAATCGATCGGGCGGGATTTCGCATTCCTGGGTTCATCTAGGGAGGAATCTCGAGAAATTTCACTTTACTCGCGGACTCGGGCACTTTCTATTTTCGTACTCGACTACGCACGCATCAAGGACT